GAGTCTTTTTGTGTATATATTTGAGTTAAATCCTATGTATAGTTTTTGTTTTCTAACCATCTACACTAGTTTGCTCTCTCCCTTACTATGATTAGAGGTGAAGAGAACATTTACAACAATTGGGAGGCGATTTGGGAGATTGCTCGATTGCTAAATGAAGGAGAAACAGAACATGAATCTATCTCCCATACACTTGAGATTGATCGGGCCACAACAAGCACGAGTGACTTCTTTCAGAATCTTGACTCAGACTGTATCACATGCAACTTGGACCATGTCAGTTTCTCAGACGATAGAAAGCGGGTAGAAGATATCATCCTCAGGCCAGTAGAAACAAGTAAGCGTCGTTTTAATAATCCCATACTTGTTTTTTACTCTTTCATTGCATATGATCAAGCATGGATGACACATGTGGAGAAATCAGAGTATGTGAGACACCCGCATAGACCACCGCCCCGACCTCCAGATTCATCACTCTTAGACCCTCCCATCGTTTGAGCAAGATAGGTCGAGCTAATGACGTTAAACAAGCGCTTCTCGGGAGGCAACCCGAGCATTAGGTAACTTTTCTTTTTCTTTTTCTTCGTAGCGTAGGTAGTAGAGACCATGATTGTATTTTGGATCTTTCGGAGTGCATTGCTATTATGCTTTTGTTCGGATAACGTTTGTTGTTCTATGAGCGTTTACACCGGCACACGAGAGATGAGCATCGACTTCCGAGAGACAACGTTGGATAAGTTCCAATTCACAGAGTGTGTGAGAGCTCTTGCGTTTGACGTGAGTTAACTTCATTGTGAGCGAACAAATTTCGCAGAGCTAAGCCTTCTCTATCCCTCTTATTGGTTCTTTTCATATGTTGTTTTCGACTCTACTTTTCCGGGCGAGAGTCTACACCGTGGACGGTGTGTGGTTCAAGTATGGGGGGGTGGATAGATCCTTCATCCATTCAGGCCTATCTATTTAGGATTGCATTTAGTTTAGGTGCACTTTATCATGGCATATAGACTTAGGAAA